TCTATAAGACATACTAAGTCCAATAATGAAAGAACTGTGTAATGAAGTACTTTTAGAGGCTAAAATACCAAATACATGGACAAAAGCTAACATCACTTTAATACCTAAAGAAGACTCAGACCTGACGCAAATAAAGAATTACAGACCAATATCTCTATTAAACGTGGACTATAAAACTTTTGCCTCAATAATAGCAGAAAGATTAAATAAATTTTTGACTGAATTTATACCCAAAAGACAAATAAAAAATAACTTAAGAATCATTTTAGACATTTTGGAATATTATGAAATCCATCCAGGGAAGGAGATGGCGCTAATATTTCTAGTTGCACAGAAAGCTTTTAACAACATAAATTGGCAATTCGTGATTCAACAATTAGAGAAAATGGATTTTGGAGAAAACTTCATAAATATAATTAAAACAATTTATTATAGACAAACAGCTAAAGTAATACTAAATGGAGATTTTACAGAAAACTTCAATATCAAAAAAGGCACAAGACACGGGTGTCCATTATCCCCATTGTTATTTATATTAACACTGAAGGTATTAAACAGAAACATTAGGCAAGATACAGAAATTAAAGGATTGGAGATAAAAGATGAAAAATAAAAAATTACAAACATTTGCAGATGATCTGGTCTTTATACTAGAAGAACCCCATGAGACAAGCCTTAAGCTTATGAAAAAGAGAAGAATCTGGAGATGTGGCAGGTCTGAAAATAAATAGAGAAAAGACCAAAGTGATAACTAAAATGTTACAGAAAAACAAAAAAATCAACTCTCAGAAAAAACAGGTCTCCAAATAGTTTAAAAAATTAAATATTTGGGGATTTATTTAACAGCAAGATGTGCAACAATAAAAGAAGACAATTATGTAAAATTACTAAAACAAATAAAACTAGACTTGGAAAAATGGAAAAACAACTTTCAATGCTGGGGAGAATAGCAACAGTGAAAATGAATATTCTACCAAAAATACTTTTTTTTATTTCAAACAATATCTATAAGATTGGGAAAAAACTTCTTTGATGAACTAAATAAATTAATACTGAAATTCATTTGGCAAGGAAAAAAAGCTAGAATTAGATTGAAAATGCTTCAAGAAGCGAAAGAAAATGGAAGTTTTGGACTGCCGGACTGGACTTTATATTATTAAGCAGCTGTATTAACATGGCTAAAAGAGTGGATAACCCTTAGAGATAAAAGACTACTATACCTAGAGGGACATGATCTACAACTTGGGTGGCATGCCTTCCTATTGTATGGAAAGAATAAAATACACAGATATTTTCAATATCATTACATAAGAAATGCACTTTTTATAGTTATTACACTCATATGCAGAATGTCCCCATTTCAAAAGTCAATAGATTTTTTTCTTTTCTTGAACTATCCACTTTTTTACTTGTCATTTTTCTTTTTTTAAGTTCACGAGTGCATCACTTCATCATAACTTCAATCACATGGCAGTTTTTTTTAAATTACTATTTTTGCTTCCCTAGCTACCGACTAATCTGCTGGGTTCTTTTCCTTTCTCTTTCTCTTTTCTTTTCTTTTCTTTGACACTGATCCACTATTTCATCATTTTTCCATTCATGGGAAATATCCAGTAAAACCTGCTAGCACAGCTCAAACAAAAAATTGGAATCCTCCAGGTGGAGAAGATGGTAGTCTGCTTTCCAGATTGTAAAGTCCTTGCAAAATGTTGCCAAAGGCCTGTCAGTCAGACACTGGATTTTGTTAAGCCAATTTAAAATCAAGCCAACATAAGTAGTTTAAAAATGTCTTGTTGCAAGCATTCAAATGAAACTGCTGTTTGTTGTAATTCCACCGGAAGTGGAATTAAATTTAAATGTCTCGGGACAAAAATATTTATAGGAATCATTGCACTGGACACTTTTTTAAAATCAAAACACAACCCACACAATTTATCAGAATTATTACTAAGACCCAATAGCATCAATGCAGATTTCTCACAATTAATATCAAACTAGTATTAAAAAGTAAGAAAAGTAGGTATGGAAAATTTATGTATGAAACACAAAGAAACACAAAGGTGAAAAAGTATCTTATACTCTTGTTTCCTGCACTAAGATACTATATTTTATTTGAAATTTAAAATAGCATAAGGAAGATTGAATTTTTTTAAAAGGTTAAAAAGAGAATAGAGAAGGCATCATGCCATGCACCATATCTTAAAATAAAAAAGAAAATATTTTATCAGTAATCACTTATGATTTGAAAGTTCAATAAACTGTACCAGGGACAAACTAAATTCTTGGATTACTAGATTAAAAAAAGAAGTTAGAAATAAGATCTGAGGATATAGTGGGGGGGAAATTTCACCATCAAAGCTCTCAGATTGAAGAAAATTATACTGCAATAGTATAAATAGCTTTCTCTTTATAGGATATATAAATATGGACCTATAGTGGTATCTTGGTACTCATTGTTAATTAGGTGCCATGAGTACCTAAAACGATGAGTACCAAACAATTTTTCCCCATAAAGAATAACATAGTGAGTCACAAGATAGCCAACAACAAGTTCCAGTTTGTGTGTTGAGTACCAAACAAGCGATGAGTACTGGGACAACATTTTCATGTCAAAATGCATTGAGTACCATATTTGATGAGTTTCAAAGCAGTTGAGTACCAAGGTACCACTGTATTTCAGACAGCCATTTGGGTAAATCATGATTTACTTTGGATTTCTGCATTGAATGAGGGAGGATTTGATGACCTGAATTACCCTATCCAACTTTACAATTCTATACAATTCTACCTTTTGTCATCTGAACTAGTACCTAGATTAATGATACTAACAAACAAATCAAAATAATTGCTATATTTCCAATTGCAACTCATTCATGATGCTCTGATAGGTACTTCACAAATACTGTATAAGTTAAAAAAAATTATAAACAATACTGTAGAATACAATATTTTAGTTACTCATGTATTTAAAAGCTATCTGTTACAAATCTAACACTTAATTATGGAAAAATATATTGTAACAGTAGTGATTCAAAATCGGTATCAGAGAAATATGACTGAATGTCAAGCACTAAAAAAAGGACCAAAACTCACCACTTTAGATGCATTTGGAGGCAGTTCTGTACCATTTTGAAGTTCTCCATTATTTGCAAAAAAAGGAATGTTGGGACTGAAAATCATGAGGTCGTTCTTGGCACCACACTCTGCGCTCACCCCTGCCAGGATGTGGCTGTGGCGATTGGAATAGGACCAGCTGCCCACTTCACTGGCACAGACCAGGGTGGCCATGCCAGGGCCATAAACTATGGTTTCTTTTGCCTTGCAGTGGCATCGCAAGGCCACATAGATGAGAATGGCTAGCAAGAATAGACTGGAAACAGAGCAGATCGCAATGATCAGATAGACGTTGATTGAATCCACCAGGGGTACAAAACTCTCCCCTGATCGTTGCACATAAATATCTGTCTTGCTGGCCTGGGAATTTGTCACCAGAGACACACTCAGGGTAGCTGTGGCTGAGAGTTGAGGTTTCCCATGATCCTTCACTAGAACCAACACACTCTGGATTTTGCCGCCTTCTGATTCATCCAGAGGATATTTGGTACTCACCTCACCACTATATGGGCCCACAGACCATGGACCGCTGCTTTCTTCAGCCAGTTCGTACCTGAGCCACGCATTGTAGCCAGAATCTGCATCCAAGGCATGGATCTTGCCTACAATATGCCCAGGCATCACAGGGACCACTAGAAGAACCAGGTTCTCTTCAGATGATCCTGACACAACAGGTGTGTTGTCGTTCTCATCCAGCACAAAGACCTGAACAGTCGCATTGCCACACAAGGAGGGCATTCCAGCATCCTTGGCTCTCACCTGGAACTCCAGCAGTTTCAATTCCTCATAGTCCAAGGACTGCAGAGCATAGAGCTTTCCACTCTCCGAATGTACAGAGATGTAGCTTGACAATGGCCACAGCTTCTCGTCTATCCAATAGGTAATCAGGGCATTCTCAGCTACGTCTGGGTCCGAGGCAGATACTGTGAAGATGTGAGCACCAGGGGGATTGTTCTCCTTCACAAAGACTGTGTAGGAGGGCTGTGTGAAGGCTGGAGCATTGTCATTTATGTCACTGATAGGCACTAAGAGGCTGATGCTAGAAGACAGGGGTGGAACGCCCTGATCTTCCACTGTCACAA